AATTAACATTTCTGCATTTGACATTGAGAGCATAGGTCGTAATTTAGATATATTTTTGAGATGGAAAAATGCAGTTTTACAAATACTAGAAACGTGGATTTCAAAGGAAAGATTGTTATCAAATAGCACACCTAGGTTCCTAACTGATGACGAAGAATTGACAGAGCAGCCATCAAGTCTTAGACAGTGTTCTAGGTTATTACATGCAGAGTTTTTAGGTCCTATAATTAACACCTCTGTTTTTTTCAGAATTTAGCAGTAAGAAAACGTCATCCAGTTTTTTATATCAACTATGCATTCCATTATTTTTTCAAATTGGTGTGTTTCACCGGGCCGCGAATAAATATAGAGCTGAGTATCATCAGCATAACTACAAAGCTAACACCGTGTTTCCTGATGATATCTCCCAAAGGTAACATGTAAAGCATGAAAAGTAACGGCCCTAGTACTGAACCTTGAGGTACTCCATACTGCACTTCTGTCAGGACCACTATCGTTAATATAACTTACAATTAGCATACATTTTAAGCTGGGGGAATGGTTCTGTTCTGGGCAAACACTCCCTGCCCATCCACGCAGCCTAGCATGGATAGGAGCAGGGAGAGCAGAATACTCTCCCTAGGGTAACAGAACAGAACCAACATCAATGATAAATGTAGCAGATACCATTAATGTTCTACGTGATTATTTTAACAACATGATTCAGTGGTCTGACTCAATTATATATTCACTGCCAAGTCCTGTACGAGAGGAGGAGCTGGGGATGGAGCTGAGTGATTAGTCCCTGAGCGAAGCGATAGCTGCTGAATAATGACTGAAGGGACCTTATGAAGGGAAATATGATTGGTGTCGTGATCCTATAGGTAGACGTGGATCAGCTGAGTGTCAGCTGATGCGAGCTTGACTAACATGGCCTGCCAGAACTATTGCTATGCTCCATTTCTGTCAGGACCACTATCGTCAATATAACTTACGATTAGCATACATTTTAGGTTGGGGGAATGGTTCTGTTCTGGGCAAACACTCCCTGCCCATCCACGCAGCCTAGCATGGATAGGAGCAGGGAGAGTAGAATACCCCCCAAACAAAATGCTGATAGCAACAACTGAATGCCTTACGGAAGGAGAGTGGCGGCGAAGGGGTGCTCTTCTGCTATGAGCAGGTAGGAAGAGCAGCTTGCCCCTTCAGGAAGACAGTGGCAGCGAGGGGGTGCTCTTCTTTATAATCAGCTAAGAAGAGCAGCAAGCCCCTTACCAGAGGAGTGTAGCAGCGAAGAGGTGCTCTTCTTAATAGCAGCCAAGAAGAGCAGCAAGCCCCTTTTTAAAGCAACCTGAAATTAAGATGCAGAATCCACTAGATTGCAGCCTAGTTGCCAGTTGTAGCAAACACTGCGTACTGCAGCCGTAGAGCAAGCAATGACAGGTTTAGAGATTGCAGATTCTGCCTAGCCTAAGCTTAGGATGCATAGCACGGCATATAGCTCAATAATTCAAGTCATGTTTATACAGATTGTCGCCTCCCATGATATTAGCGTTCGCTGACATACATATCCTCTAACTGATAACCCGCATTAGTGTAGTAGACAATCCTTACCAATACTCTCGACGCTTATGCAACAGTGTGTAGCTTGCTTAAGCACGGCATGTTGCAGTAGTCAGACCTAAAGAAAATAGTGTTCTTTTTAGCAACATCATATGACCCCTTTAAATTTGTCTTGGTTTTGATGCGAAATAAACACAAGCTTAAGATTATTTTAATTAGTTTGTACATAAAAAATGACAAATTCATCAACTCATTCATCACGCGAGAAATCTTGTACTGGCAAATTACTTCTTCTCATCGGTGATTCCTGATGGTTTTAGAGGACAATTACTCCTCGTTGCCCCCTGTCGTTTCAAAGAATAGTACAACGGCGAACGCGACAAGTATAAAAGCCTTGTCCATTTGGGAAGGTGCTCGCACAGTCAGTGGAGGCTCTTGAAGCGGAGCCAGGCGAAAGTATAAATCCCGCTTAAGCAACGGCAGGTCTAGTAACGATATGATACTGGACACTAGATAAGCCTTAACAAGCAAGCAATCCCAATACCCTGATAGCTTTAAGCAAAGACCTTCTGAAATGCATAGAGTGGGGCAGCATTCCCTTACAGAAGAATAGAAGTAGCGTTTAAACACAGCGTGTTGGAAATTGTTGGATAAGTTTAATGGAAGCATCCCCAATAGATGAGCCTGAAGCAGCAAGCCTGTTTTATATCGACAGCCTTGACAACAGATTAAAACAAGGCTCGCTGGTAAATTTAACTGGTAATGTTACCAGTGTGACAATACGATAGCATGCCTAGCAAACATAACTGAACCACTAGCCTTAGACAATGAGCAATATCTGAAGCATGTTCACCAACATAGCATTAGGCAATAAAATGAAAGAAACTTTGCTTAGCTTCATGAAGACATTCAGAGATGAATAAAGGTGAAATGGGCAGTTGTTACGTGGATGCTTTAACCCTTCTTGAATATCTTGCTTCTTCCAGCGGGGAAGCAGATCTCGTGTAAAGTTGTTGGTGCAGTTGTATTAGCACAACTTCGGCGATGAATTGCGGGCAAAGTGTCTTTATCAATTGCGAGGAGCCGTGCTCGCTCAGATCACTTCAGTCTATCGGCTTTACCAAAAACGCGGCTAATTCGCTTAAGTTCACAACTTGAATCTGGTGAGATACTCTGTGGGAATCCTGTCGAAAATCCAGATTAAACGCTTCCTATGGAGATGGAATTCGCCATCTGATTAGTTCCTGAGCGAAGCGACAGCTGCTGAATAATGACTGAAGGGAATTATGATTGGTGTCGTGATCCTATAGGTAGACGTGAATCAGCTGAGTGTCAGCTGATGCGAGCTTGACTAACATGGCCTGCCAGAACTATCGCTACGCTCCATTTGTGATCGATATGATACCTCTTCATTCACTGCTATGAATTGATGGCTGTCAGATATGTAAGATTTGAACCATGCTAATGGACTTCCATTAATGCCAACAAAGTTTTCTAGTCTTTTCAAAAGAATGTCGTGGTCAGTAGTGTCGAACGCAGTGCTAAGATCCAGTAGCACTAATAGAGAGATACAACCACGATCAGATGATAAGAGCAGGTCATTTGTAACTCTAATGAGAGCAGTCTCAGTACTATGATATGGTCTAAATCCTGACTGGAAATCCTCACAGATACCATTTTTCTCTAAGAAGGAATATAATTGTGAGGATATTACCTTTTCTAGTATCTTGGACAGAAAAGGGAGATTCGAGATCGGTCTGGCCAGTTTGATGGGACATATCCTAATGACAATGATGAATTAATAATAGTCAGAAGAGGATCTATGACTTCTGACTTCTGCTCTTTTAGGAGCTTAGATGGAATAGGGTCTAACATACATGTTGTTGGTTTAGATGATTTAACAAGTTTATACAATTCTTCTCCTACAGTAGAGAATGAGTGGAATTGTTCCTCAGGGGATCTATAGCACACTATCTGATGTGATACTGTAGCTGACAGCCGCATGGTTACAATTTTATCTCTAATAGTATCCATCTTGGAAGTAAAGTAGTTCATAAAGTCATTACTGCTGTGCTGTTGGGAAATGTCAACACCTGTTGATGCTTTATTTTTCGTTAATTTAGCCACTGTATTGAATAAATACTTGGGGTTATGTTTGTTTTCTTCTAAAAGATGAAAAGTAATCAGATCTAGCAATTTTTAATGCTTTTCTGTAGAATAGGGTACTTTCCCGCCAAGCAATACGAAATACCTCTAATTTTGTTTTCCTCCAGCTGCGCTCCATTTTCCGGGCTGCTCTCTTTACGGTGCGAGTGTGCTCTGCCCATTATACCACGGTGTCAAACTGTTTTCCTTAACCTTCCTTAAAGGAGACCTATTATGCCCCTTTTCACAAGATGTAAAATAAGTATCTGATGTCCCCATAGTGTGTATGTGACGTTTTAACTCAAAATACCTTACAGATTGTTTTTTATAGCTTGTTAAAATTGCCACTTTTAGGGTATGAGCCAAAACGCTCCATTTTTGTGTCTTTCCCTTTAAATGCAAATGAGCTGGTGCTCCGGGGAAGACGGCGGAGTTTCAATAGCTCAAGCTCCGGCAATGCTCCGGTGCTAGCCTTTGCAAATAAACACTCCACTATTAGTACAAGCCTGTTATCTTTACAGAAAACGCACTCGGTTTAAAAGTCAGTCATCTAATGAGTAGGTCCCGACACGTGTAGTCTAACCCCAATAGAGTAAATTTCCCTGCATTTATCACATGTGAATCCCTCGTTGCCGACAGAGAGAGCTAAACTATAGATGTGGCAAGCGGTGCTTTGTACTGTGCATAAAAAATGCACTTTATGAATTACACAATCGGGAGCATGGCGCGATAAAAAATAACTCATGATGCCATCGCATGCTATTGCAAACTTTATAAGCCCCACTTGTGATTATGAGCTCGACTAATTCTAGCGGTCGACTTCACATTGCTTTCATATGCAGTTTTAAAGAGAGAAAAGAAACGGAGCGGGAGAAAAAAAGGAAAACAGCAATAGACGCGAATGGAAACGCGAATGACAAGCTAACTGGCTAACGAATGCTAACGCGCTGGACGCACGCTGCACTCTTTATGTTATTTGATCAATGGTGATGGGCAAAGTAGTGTAATCTATTAACTACACATAAAAACCCGACTTTTTACTTGAGTACCAGATATGGGTGTCATGCCATAAAATATTTTTAATACGACTGACTTTGTATTTAATGTGAATTTAATAAAGAAGGCAGCATCAGTGAAAACAGACAGACAATGGTAGCTTGAGCAACAATAGCCTTACAGAGTGCCAAGAAGCTCTTACAGAAAGGCAATTTGGAAAACTAACATGTAATACTTACTTCTTCTGGAGGTGTAGCTGGATCACGAACAGTTGGCACTGCTCCATCCTTCAGGAGCAACTTTTGTGCAAAACCTGCTTTATA